CAAAACCATCGTCCTGTTAAAGAAGTATTATTGATGGACCTTCTTTAAGTGAAGAAAGAACTGTTGCTTGTAGTTCTCAGGCAGCGAGCAAACATGCAGTTGTTAGAAACATGATATGAAATGACTTTCCAGCATAGCCTGGTGTGTTGGCAAAGGTGCACTGTAGAGAACTCAACTGCAGCTCATCATCTCTTTATCCTACACATTTCCTTCTGAAACAAAGTTTGTCTATTCCTAGGCTTTGGTTAGCATTGGGCACAGGCAGTGACTGTAGTGTCACTACTTCCATGGGGAAGGAAAGCACACTGCATAAACAGGGACCTGTGCTATATCACTGGATAAATACCCTTGCAGATGCAGGATGAAATAATTTAAAGAAAGAAATGGAATGGGTAGAGAGCCAGCAGATCCATGGCTCTGCAGATCCACTGATCAGACAATGGCACTGAGTGGTTTGTAGAAAGCAGAAGTTTGGCCAGAGGCTGCAGCTGCAGTTACTGTTGCTTGATAGTCGAAGGAAACCTCCTTTCCTCTGGCTGCCCGTCAATTTTCCTGCTCAAAGGTCGTTTCTGGGGCATGGACCAGGGTTACACTTTCATGTTGTAGGGATGGATTACTTGCTTTTGTTATTGCTTTTTTTGCTTTTTTTTTTTTTTTTTTTTTTTTTTTTTTTTTTTCCACTAAGCATGGAATAGATGATATGGGCTCATATTAAAACAGTAATCCTCTTCTGGAGAAAAAGTGGCATATGGGAACTGGTCTTTGCTGTTCTGCTTTGCTTGACACAACTGAATTCAGAAATGCAGCAGTGCGTGTGTATATTTGTATATATATACACACACACACACACATATATATATGTATATATATATATATATATTTTCCCCTCAATCCCTCAGGAAAACTTCTGGTCGGGGGAATTTGCTTTGAGTATTGAATTCACATGTTACTCCATAAGTAAGTCTGCCCTGTGCAAGTGAGAGATATTAGTTATTTTACAGTCATACATTTAAGGAGTTGTTGTGGTTGTGCCGTAGAAGTTTTTAAAATTATTTCATGGACAGGCTTTTTAAGCTTTGGTACAGCTGCTTTGATATAGTCTGATATTTGGAGGAAACAAATTGGTGGCTCCCAAGACAAAACCCATGTCAGACCACAAAGCAACATCTTTTCTAGCATCCTATCAAGGGATCCTGTAGATGCACCTGATAAATGGGAAAAATTAAGCTGAATGACAGCAAGGACATCCCTTTACTTATTAGCACTAAGTTTTAGTAGATTCAAGATTCTTCTTTCCTGATTTTTTTCATATTAAGCAAAATTTCTGACCCACCTGTAACTGCCTTGTGTGCAGTGCAGAGCACTCTTGGATAAGTCTCTGACAGTACAGGGAGATCCATAGTGGAACATGTTTAGAACATACAAAAGATCCACAGTGCAGATGGAAGAGCTAAATTCCTATTTGAATTTGTAATTGCGTCAAGCAATTGTTTCTCTACCATGCCTAATAATCTCCTGTTGCTGTAAAGCTCTATTTTCTGAAGTCTTTTCTTTGACTACTAGATATAGGTCACAGCTTTAAAGAGCATATGACTGAATGATTCCTGTCTTCTCTGCTGCTTTTTACGCTGCAGTGTTTGGTCTAGAAAAGGAATTTTGCATTTTTGCATGAGTCATGATGGGATCATTCTTATGAATCTGTGGCTTTAAATACCATCTAGGAACACACCTATAGAGTGTTTTTGCAGACATATGTGCCTGTGCTTTTTGGCGTTGGGCCTGTTTTGGTTTGGAAGCTGTATGGTTGTGAAAGCATAATGCTGAACTGTGGTTTCTATGAATGGTTCCCCTTTGTGTCAGGTTTAGCAGTGAGCAGTTATGTGGCTTTTAGTGAAGCTGCAATTTGCGTGGCTGATGTGGAATATGGTAAAATGAGTTTATGTACGACATGCCTGATAAGCTTTTATTCTGATGCTAATGTTAGCTTATACCTGGCTACGTGCATACATCTCAGAATGTGAAAATCCCAGATTGCTTCTGGAATATCATTGGCTCTTATATGCAACTTCAAGTATATATCAACGAATTACAAACCTGTATTTCTGCAGGGGCTTTCTGCCACATACGTTTTGCTTGACTCTGGGCGAGTTGCTTCTAACCAGCTAATTAAACATCAGCCATTTGCTGCATGAGCTGAGGCAGAGGTCGAGTGGAAAACTGCAGCCATGTAATTAGCCATAGCACACACTGGTTTAAATGGAAATGCAGAGGTCTAGCAGGATTCCTCTTTGCCCTGAAGTTTGTGTCAAACACCATGTCAGAAAAGTGCTGATATACATCTGACGTTTGGAGGAGTACTGCTACAGTCACCTGCTGATGTTAATCTGGCCTGTCCTGATTACTGCATGTTTGTATATGACCTCAGTTTGCCATTTCTCAGACATTTCTTATGGTTTTCTGATTTAAATATCATCCCTCTCAAAAATGTTTTTCTTAAATTAGCATGCATTAATACACTATTACAGCAGATTTTAATGAAAAAATGTAAGCTTCAAATTCTGTGAACAAGACAAATCGTGTGCATGGCTTTATGAAAGAAATCTAACATTCAGTGATAAAAGCAAAATGGTGACTTATTCATAGGAGGTAACAGGAAAAGTATCTAAAATACTAAAATATTTATTTCCAGAGTGTTCTTAGATGTTTCAAGTTCATAAGAGACATTTTTTTTTTAATCTTTGTAATATTGAAGTCCAACATTAATTTTCCAATGAGAGCATCAATTATTTTGAAAGCCTGTAATTACAGTGCTGTTGGTTGTCAAGGGCATAAATCAGGTGGCCTCAGAACTGAAGAAAACTCTTTTCCTGCACCATTAATCACTCATTTTCACTGTTAGTTATTAAAACAATGTCTTTAAAAACTTACTGTATCTGTATGCGTGCTATAAAAATGTTTTATGCATGTATGGAATCTTAAGGCTGAGATGCAAAGTGATATTGGAGTGAAAATGTCAGCTGAAAATGGCTGCAATTTCACAATAACAGTCCGTATGTGTTAACATTGACTGTTTATAGCATATGGCACCAGAAAACTATCACTGAACTAATAAAGAAAGGAAAATGATGAAATGCATATATTTTTAAAAACGTGCATGACATTTGCCATGAAAAAAAATTTACATCAGGCAGTAGAAAAACTCATTATTAATAAATGTTACACACAGATAGTGCTGCACAAAAGCCATTAGTGAAAATAACTGAGGATTTTGCAGTTGATGTTGTGAAATTTTCTCTGGCAGTTGTGCCTGCTGAGCAGTGTAATGCCTGATAGGTACACATCTTAGATATGCTGTGGTACTCTGGGTAGTTCCTAGTGCAGAATATGAAGGTCAGGCAGAAAGACATTTGGCTCAACAGTTAACACTGCAGTGCTCAATCTTTTTCCAATGTCAGGAGAAGCTGCAAATTGCAAATTGTTGTCGTTTGCCGGAATCTACTGTACATATATTCTGCTGCCTGTTTGCACGCATTCAGCAGCTGCAGTGCTTCCTAGGAATGTGCACTTGCTAAATGTTGAGGTCGATAACACTGCCCATGTGCAGTGTGTGTAGTCCTGTGACCCTTAGTTGTGCATGTAGTTATTTGGATACGCTCCAGTTCCTCTACATTATTGATAAATAAAGGCTGAATACAGCCAGATAAATATTCTTTCTATTCTACCTCAAAGTGTGGGTTTTTTTTTGTTTGTTTGTTTGTTTGTTTGTTTTTTCCTGTGTGATGAGTAGAGTGGTGAGAGAGTAGAAGCTTCTGAGCTTCTCAGATAAGGATATTGCTGGAGTTCAGAGCACAAGTCCTGAGTAGGGGTGTTATGCACATATGCACCTGTGGTTCCAAACTCTGTAATCTTATTTTTCATGCCACTTTGATTTTTCTAACGCAGCTGCTCCTGCCTTTGAAAATGAAAGGAATGTGTTTTTCAAAATGAAGTCAAGATTGTCTGCATTACCACTGGTTGCTGATATCTTGGTTTCTGAAATAATATAATTGAGCTCTTCTTTTCTCTGTTTACCTGTTATTCAAATAATCTTTTGCTCTGTTATTTCAAACATTCTAAGTAAAAAGCAACGGACAATGCCTTAAAAAAAGGGAAGCTGTATGTAGTCACCAAAATATCAGCAGTTAATAATTAGTCTATATTAGTGTTGAAGTAAAAAATAACTTATGTATAGGACACAATGTGGAGTAGTTGATAGGCATTCAAAATTATTCAAAGTTTAAATGCAATGGTTCTGAAACAGTTATTCTGAACAATATCTGCCTTACATTGTTATAGTGAAACAGATTAAAGAGGAAGTAATATGAATCCAGGAATTTGGCTTTGGGATTTCATTTGTGTTCAAAATTTCCTTTTATTGACCTGAACAAATTCGTGGGCAATATTTGCTCTCTGCTTCTGTGTATAAAACTGCTCTTGTAGAATTATACTTATGCAGGGAAACACATAAGAATGTATTACGTACGCTGGTTTTTTTTTTTTTTGCTTTTTGATTCTCACACCAAGAGTGATTTCAGTGGAAATAGTGAATTATTTACAATAATTATGGTAAAAAATATTGTTTATAATGACTGAAGTGGAATTTTCTGCAACATAGCAATTATTCTCAGCCTGCTAAAGTCAGCTGGAAGTGAAAGTCTTTGTAACAAATACACTGGACTTGCTTTCCATCCCAGCTGAGCAGAGAATTCTGATAATTTGTGTTCAGGCTCAGGTTTATTATATTATTAATCTAAAATACTGATTTAGCTTATCATGGTGTAGCAGAAATTCTAAGTCACAGCTTGAAGCAGTGATTGAGCACCTGGTGGGAAGGCAGGGCCAACCCAGGGATGCTCAGGTGCATGTAATGCCCCTGAGTGACTGGAAGGGATGGAGCCAGGATCCACAGCTTCCCTGACCTCATTTAAGGGTTAGCAGTGGAGATGAGGGTAGCTTATCCCTGTACACCTGAGGCCTTCTGAAGGTAAGTGGCTTCTTTCCTTTGTTTCTGTACCCACAGCTTTTACATTTGAACAAGTCCTCACTTACTGTAGCCTAGAAACTTGCTACTCTTACAGTTGCATTATAGTTGCATTGTTCTTACTGTTGCATTATAGCATTACTCATGGTAAATAAGCACCTCATGATTCAGTATTCTTATTCATAATCTACTTTTGTAACTGGAAAAATGAAATGTGACTGATCTTTAGAAGACCTTAACTTTGCTGGGGTAGCTTCTTTGGTCAGATACACCTGGAATAGTCGAGGTAATTAAAGTCCAATTTGGGTTCAGTGATATTGACAGAAGAGTTCTGTTTATGGTTCTTCGTTTGGAGAATAGGAATATATTATATATATATATATATATATATATATATATATATATAATACATAGGAAACTTACTTTCTGCTGGTATAAAACGCAACTATCTTAAAATATCCTGAAGTAGAAAACACACATTTCTTTAGCACAGTGATGGGATTGTATTTTGTAAGCTGTTCTATTACAATTTGCCCAAAATGGCTATGACACCTGACATCTTCTGAATCTTGCTAGTGTCTTCTACCACTAGGTCTAATTTCCATTTCTTCCTGTGCCAAAAGCTAAGAGCAGAGTATAATAAGATACAGACTAAATGTATTAGCCTAATAACTGAAGGGAGATTATTGTAAGTAATGGTGACAACAGTAATGAGAAGGTATCCATCATGTAAGATTGTGGGGGTTTTTTTGTTTGTTTTGTTTTTATTTTATTTTATTTATTTTTTTTTTTTTTGTGGATTTTTGTTTTTCTCTTAATGCAGTTCTTCATTTTCTCTGACTGGAATATCTTAAATGCATTCAAGCCACTGTGACTTTTTCACTGAATTTCTAGGGATGTTAATTAGTAGGTGCAACTTCACAGAAAATGGGGATGTTTGCTTGTTACTTGAGTGATGTGGACCATGTTCTGCTTATAGGTGTGCCTGTGCAATATGTGCTTGGAAGTTTTGATAGGTTGTGATTTTTATGATTGTACTCATTCAAAACATGTTTTAAAAAACTCAATTACTGATGAGTAGTTCATTTAAGTAAGTAGACTGCTGTGATAAATAGATGTATTTGTGTGCTTGGGAGCACGTTTATGTAACCACATACAATGCCTAACTTTTAAGCTCTGTGTCTAAGTTCACTCCTCGTTCTAATATGTTCCTACAAAAATCTGCCTTTTTTTTTTTTCAGGTGGCATTTGAGAGTAAGCAGGTATTGCTGATGGTCTCAACCTCAGTTTCCATCTGCCTGTCCTGTGATAGCTTGTTGATTTTGTAGAATATGTGGGAAACAAAAAGTAGCTTAGCAACAGGGCAAAGCAGAAGTGCAGGTTGTATATTTGCTTGAGCTATGTGCAGTTTACTCCATGACTTGGCAAGTAGGTTTTTGTCCTGAATAGCTGCTCCTCTAAACATCAACAGTGAGATAAAAAAGAACCAGAGATGAGCAGGAGATTAGCCGTATCTGATGACTAAACAAATACTTTTAGTTTCACGTTTGTCCATATAGCATCAGGCTATCCTTAAGCAGTCATTCCTGAATTTGACACAGACTAAAAAGAAAATGTCTACACATATAATCTGAGAAGTTTATGGTGAAAATGTTATCTAATGTGAGGTAGATTGAAGTGCACTTCCTCTTTGCTGCCTGTGGTAATTTCCTGTGGAAGAACTCAGCAATGCTAAATAATAGAAGTACTCTAACAGCCATAGCTTCTGCCTGCTCCTCTGTCCTGTGGGTTAGTTGGTAGAGTTCTCCTGCTGCCATACTGTATGGGAACTGCTGAGTCACGGCCTGAACCTCTGATTAATCACCTGAGGTGAGCCTTGAGTCAGCCAGAGGAGCACAGGTGAAGGCAATTCACCTGTGCTGCTGGAAGGGGTGGAGCCTGGCTCCACCCCTCCTGGACCTATTTAAGAGCTGGCTACCAGAGGGGAAGGATCTCTTCTGGAGATCCTCCTCTTTTGGTATCTTCTAGTGAGCTCAACCCAAGGGTAAGCTCTTCTACTTATTCTCTTTTGCGATCCTTGTTTGCTTTTGCCTTACTCTTTTGATTATATTGCAATTATAACATCTTGGTTATACACATACATACAGCTGCAGAATGCTCCTCCACCTACTGACGTGTTTCTAGACTGAGATCTGACTTCCTGATAGCTTCTGTATGATCAGAGAATTATGCTTCCTCATCTGCTTTGCTCGTGTAATTTGAGGGAAATTAGTCTTTCTCATCACTTTTGTAGATATATATATACCAAACATAACACCTACTTTAAATACATGGGGCCAGCATAATTTCATTGGGTTGTAAGTGTTGCCTCTGTGGAAGGATCAAAGGCAGGTTCTGTTGATGCTCTGTTCTGTTCTTTCTGGAAAGACAAGAAGATGCTTGGGGTAGACCATCTAAATTGCTTTGGGAGAGGGAATGCTGTGCAGCCCAGGAAGATTCAGCAGCTGTTCCCAAGGAGTTTCAACCTGAGGAGAACCTTGATGAATTATATGCTGAGATCTACGAGAGGGTGGATGCTCCTTTAGAATAATATGGAAGAAAATAAGAAAATGGCTTCCATGGAAAAACTATCCAAGTAAGCTGTCATCTGACCGTGAAGCAAGGAAAAGTGACTGACCTGATGCTGCAGAATGCTGTAGGTTCAGGAAACTGCTAGAGATTTGCTTTGTTAAAAAGTGTTATGGAGCTTTACAACTTATTTAACCCAGGCACTTGTGAATCTGTTGAAAGCAAGTCATTCCTTCCATGGAATATTACTTTAAAAATCCCGCAGCATTTACATTACTGGGACCTCAAATTAATCCACAACTTAGTTAGATATCAGAAATTATTTAAAAACTCTTTTTCTTGTATGGACCAATGAATATCATCCTGCCCAATTTTCAGCATGACCCCTATATTTCACTAAAATATAACTGTTTATATATTCAATCTACCTAAAATTAGAAGACAAACTATTGGATTTTAAAAGAAACAAAACCCTTAACAGTATTTTCTTAATTCCAAATTAATCTGAATGCACAATTGTGAAGCTTGCTTCATCTTCCCTGCCCCCAACAGTTCATATATGTTGATTGAGGCATTTGTTTGAGATTTAGGAGGCTCTGACAACAGAACATCAATATCAGCTCTTGTTTGGTAGAACGTAATTTTCATGGGTTTTTCAATACTATTATTTGCCTTCCTGCCCTTGTACAATGCTTTCCAGATACAAATTATAATGATAAATAGGGAACTGTGACCAATGACAAATTGCATGCTTAAAAAGTGGGAAAATGTATGATGGAGGTGATATTTTTATTACTGGTTAGTATGTTTTACTGTTCTTTAAATGAGCTCATTTTTTTCTGCATCTAACACACCCCTTTGGCTGCAGAAAGGATTAGTGTTTTATGAGAAATTTTACCTTTAATTAATGGCAATTAGTTAAGGGTGTGGGAATATTTCCCTTTGTTCCTGTTGAAGTTCAGGTAGTCTGACCTGCTGTTAGAAGATCCTAAGGGTTAAGGATTTCATTACAGAAGAAGTAAGGTAAGTAATCAGCAAAGCTTTCTTGTTTACATGGATACCACTTGATGAATATGCAGATGAACGTGTCACCATCTCAGATACCAGATGGAAATTGTTCGTGACTCTTAGGTATGATCAGCAAGTTTATTTATGGTGCGAAAGCAAAATTAAAAGCAGTGGCTGCACCTATCATCATAATTAAACCAGGTTAAATACCTACACTTTTAATCATTCTGGTGTCAAGATTATGACCAATGTTAAATGGATAGAAAGTATTAGCAACTTTACAGAGCTCTAAGTGGATACATTAATTTGCTAATGGATTGGTTGCTGAACCACTGAATATTGATTTGTCTTGGGATATAGATAGAAGATTTGTAAGTTTGAAGAAGGTAATCAAAAAGGATGTGATGACTTGGAAGCAAGTATCGCTATAATGTGGGTCCTTTTCTTATGACACACTTCTTTGTTTTCCTTTTATTTTAATGCTCTTTTTATGCTTATATGTTTTCTGTTCATCTCTCTTCCCTATCATTTCCCCATTTTTTTTTTTTCTTGCTATTTCATTGTCCCTGTTCTATTACTGTCTTCTACACTCTTTCTTTCTTTTCTTCTATCTCCGTGCCTTGTTCACTCTCCCCTGCATAATTCTGCTTCCTTTCCTGTCATCCTTTTCTTATCCTTTTCTCTCATCCAGCTCTTCTGGTTTTCTATTTTAATCTCACCCTCTATTGTTTACTTTCACCATGTCTATTTCCAAACTCCCTACGCCTTTCTATATAGTGCTCCTTTTCCTTGTTATACTTTCTCCTGGATGTTGCCAGCCAATAAGCCTTTCTTAGGGTAATTTGCTAATTGAGACAGTAAGCAGAAATCAAGTGACCAAACCCTGAAGAGAGGAGCAATATGACACCTTTCTTTTACTTGTGTCTGTTTTCATTGTACTACTCTGAATATTAACTGCAGCAATGTTCACTAGTGATTGTGATGCCAGTTTCCATTTCTGCAGGCAGAAGTGGTGCTGGGAGCTGTCAAGGTAGGCTGCCTAGCTCGCTGTGTCCTGTCCTGTTCTGCCCTTCAGACTTTTACCCCCTCCACTCCTTTGCTCTCAGCTTTTCAAGGAACTGAGTGCAGGCGTAACCAGAAAGCTTCTTTTGTCTCTGATCCTAGTAACTCCACTGTGGGAAGGTATCTGTTGATCTATGGCCTGCTGGTAGAATCCGGGATAGCAGACTAAAAGTGCTGTAGTCAGAATTGTGGGTGGGTCAGGCACAACTTTAGCTGAAGAAAAGGAACCCAGTAGAAAGAAATATCTGTTGCCGCAATGTTTAGCAGGAAGAACATGTAGTTTCTACGAGGAGATGAAATTACAGACAGAATACCAGTGTCCTGCTTTCCTAATTGCTCGCCTAGCTAGAGTTCTCAGAAATGAAGATATGTTTCTTCTCTGGTTCATACCATCCAATTTGATTATTTTCAAGTATTGGTGAAAATTCATTTAAAATGCACTTCTCTGCATTGCTATCAACATTTGGAACTGACACTTGAGTGCTCTTTTTTTCTCTCTGTTGACCTAACCTTTCATTTCAAATAAATGTAGTGGATATCTAGTGTGGAGCATCAAAGATGTGGTGACAGACATTGACAACAACAAAGAGTCAACATTTGCCTCTTTTTGCTTAAAATAGTATTTGTTTTATGGGTATTTTCAACTACATAATGGTTATTCTTGTCTAGAGTATTTTCACAATTTGTTTTAGGAAGCAACATCTCTACACAGATTAGAGAAAGTGTTGATTTCCTTAGTGTGCTTAATTTGTACATCTGAGAATTCTTTGTGTGCAGTCAGTTTGTTTCTCCAGTGCCTCCTCAGTTTTGCCACTTGTTTGTGTAATTCTTTCCAAGAGCAGTGGAGAACTATTTCTGAAACTCAGAAAAATCTGATTAAAAAGCATCACAAAACTCTTCTAAAAGTGGGAAGGTGACAATGGCAAAGTGCATGAGATGTTTGCTTTTTGTTCCATGTATGGGAACTGCTGAGTCACGGCCTGAACCTCTGATT